ATTGAAAATAAATTTCAAGAGAACAGCAGAGTGAATTATGAAACCATTGGAGCCGAGGGACCACTTCACATCAGTAGTATGTTAGTGAAGGTGTCAGGTTCATCAAGATGTTTATTTAAATATGTCTGGATTTCTCATGTAAAACACACATTAGTAAAGGGGCTTTTTATTTTTGTACAATATTTTATATAAAATTAAAATTGGCAGCCAGAAAAGGGTCTCAGATCCCCAGAACTGGAGTTACAGTGGGCTGTAAGCTCTGATTTGGATGCCGGGCCTCTCCAAGCATGGCATGTACACACATGCACAGACACAATATACAGGCAAACACACGAACATATCAAATAAATAAAAAACCTTAAAAAAAATGAGACATGGCATTATAGGAGATATTTCTTTTTGGAACTAAAGCTCAAGTAGGAACCAACAAAGCTGGTTTAGAATACCTTTTTAAGAAGTTACATCTAGACTCACAATTGTGATTCACTGTTAAGTATTTTAAAATTTTAACTACCACTTGTCTTATTTAAGGTTTCTTTTACTGTGAAGAGACACCATGATCATGGCAACTCTTATAAAGGAAAACATCAATTAAGTTGGTTTACAGTTCAGAGGTTCAGTCCATTATTATGATGAGGAGCATGGCGATGTACAGGTAGAAGTGATACTGACTGCATCTTGATCAGAACAGGAAGTAGATTGTGACACTGAGGGAAGCTTAAGCAACAGAGACCTCAAAGCCTGCCTCCACAATAACATACTTCCTTCAACAAGATCACACTTATTTCAACAAGGCCACACCTCCCAATAGGGCCACTCCTATGAGCTTACAATTAAACTATCACACCAATGGTCTTTGATTTCACAACTGATGAGAACTACCAAAACTGTTGAAAGATCTCCAATAAGCTTATAATATTAAGTAAGCAAAACTATTTGTTGTATAGATTAATAAATAAAAATGAATCTTACAGCCAGAAAAATAAAAATAAATTAAAAAAATAAAAGGAAATGTCGTGAAAAATACCCCAAACAATCAAATAAACATGCAAAGCCTAACAAACAAACAAAAAACCATAAGCTTACACACATGACACACAACCTAAAATATTTTCAAAACACTGGTTTAGACTCACAGATTAAGGAAAGATTCCCAGGGAACCTGTGTGTAAACAAGGCATCTATGCTATTTATGATGAACAAAAATTATGTGAGAATTATGTACTTCTTTAATTTTTTAAAGAAAAATTTATATATCCTTCTTTAGTTACCTGCTACATTATTGGTTATTCAAAAGAAAGCAATTTTCTTATTTACATATATTATGAATTTCTTCAATGAATATCTACTTTGATTGTTTGGTGGGTACAGAAAATAAATAATACAATTGTATTTTTAATTTGTTAATATTTATCTTGTGTTGTAAGGTATTTTTTATTTGGACAATGTTCTATCTACTAAAAGGAATAATATATGTTCTGAAACTAACATCTGAAATATTCTGTAACTATTTGTTAGAATTCTTTGGTCAGTACTGTTCACTTACTCTGATTTTGTTTCTTGGTGATCGGTTGATGAAATTGAAGTGGTATATGGCCCTGTTTTATTGTACGGAAACCATTGTCCCACTGTAGATCCTGGAATACTTTATTGATGATTCTGCTGTTGCTAAAGTATGTACATACATACTTGATGCATGCCCTACAAACTTGCCAAATTAACAGTTTTGCTGTAACATACTAGACAAAAAATATCAGTTCCATTTTCCCACTAGTCTGCAGAAAAATCCAAGTGCTTCCATTGAAACCTGCCTCCATCTACTGAGTGTTTTTTTCTGTTATGTGGACGACTCAGTGTTGGTGATAATTCTCATTCAGGAAATTCATGGCTTATGTTCTAGTTCTTCCAAGAGTTTGTCCTTTATGTTCATTATACTTCAGAGGATCTCTTGCTCATTAATTTAAATAAAGCATTAATTGGGCACCTGAATTTTTGAATGATTAACTATCATTAATGTACAGAAACCCACATTTCAACATAAATACAAAGCAATCTTTAGGGAGAAAGAACTGCTTTTGAAAATCAACAAGAAGAGGAAGAGAGGGATGGAAAGAGAGGAGAGACAGATTCATTGATAAATAGTAGCAGAGAGACCATCTAGAAAGGCTATTGGAGACATCTAGTACAATGGCTGTTGAGAGGTGCCTCCTATGTTTTCATTTACACAACAAGAATCAGGGTGAGAAATAAATACGGCTTAAAGTAGAGTATATGGCCAAAACCCATGGAGTGAAAAGAGACATCATGAAAACACTAAGGTACTCAAACAAATCAAATGGCCTTGGGAAGAAGAATATGAAATTCCCTGTGTCACTGTATGAGAACAATCTGCAAGCCTTTTCTGTAGATGTAAGAGTGTACAAGTGAGGCAAATGTCAGTTCCTACATATGCTCAATAAGTCTTTGTTACTGGTGAATCTCCCCTCACATTCACTGTAGGGAGCTGCTGAAAAGTTGTCACTATTTTATTTATTCACAGAAGGCACCTAATCCATATTGTGCTCTCATTCACCAGAGCATCCCATGGCCACCCTATGACACTGAGGAATCCAGATCCTCCACAGACTGGGGAAACTGTGAAGGAACATGCTCACACAGTCCTGTGTGATATGAAGCCCTGTCCCCAACCTGCAATACACAGAACTTCAGGTAACCAGACTGATTAGATCCACCTTTCAGAAGGTAGACAAGACTCAAAATTTCAAAGTTCAGGCCACTGGGTACACTTGAAGACTTTGGTGATGTTGATAACAATTAGAGAAGAATTACACAATGTAAACAACAGTATAAACATCCCGAGCCAAATAACATGCAGTACTCAGACTACATACATCCCAGGCATATTTCCAGAAGAAAATCTTTCACTTTGAAAACCATCAATAAAATTTATAATGCCAGCCATTCTGCCAGATTCAGAAATACCAATATAAAAACTTGAGAAATGTTTAAAAGGCAGTACAATTAAATATCCAAATGAACATATCAACTTTCTGGTTACATGTCCCTTAGAAAATGTAACTCTTGATGTTTAAGGATGTTGAGAAATTCCTTAAATGTCTTTCTGCCATTTGAAATTCTTCTGTTGAGAATTCTCTGTTTAGCTCTGTAGCCCATTTTTAATTGGATTGTTTGGTATTTTGATGTCTAGTTTTTTGAATTCTTTATATATTTTGGAAGTTAGCCCTCTGTCAGATGTGGGGTTGGTGAAGATATTTTCCCATTCTGTGGACTGTCGTTATGTATTCACTCATAAGTGGATACTAGATGTAAAGCAAAGGATAAGCAGACAGCTCCAGAGAACCTAGCTAACAAGGAGGACCCTAAGAGGGACATATAGACAGCCCAGTGAAGGGGAAACAGATGAGATCTACATGAGCTGATGGTGAGGGGGTTAATGGAGAGCAAGGCATAGAGGATGAGAACATAAGGAAATGGGAGGTTTGAGCTGGAACGGGGACAGAGTGGAAGAGCAAGGAAAGAGATACCATGATAAATGGAGACATTGTGGGAATAGGGAGAAACAGGGTGCTAAGGAAGTCCCCAGGTATCCACAAGGATGACCCTACCTTAGACTACTAGCAATATTTGAGAGGGTTCACGAACTGGTCTACTCTTGTAACCAGATTAGTGAATACCCTAACTGTCATCATAGAGTAGTCATCCAGTTTCTGATAGATGCAGAGATACACAACCAGGTGCCGGGTTGAGCTCTAGAAGTCCAAATAATGAGAGAGAGATGGAATTCTATACGAAAGGGACATCGAGATCATGATGCGAAAAAGTACAGAGATGGCCAGCCAAACTAGTTGAAACCCAAGAACTGTAGACCAATAACTGTGGAGCCCCCACAAGACTGAATTAACCCTCTGGATACTCAAGACAGTAGTTTACCTTGAACTGTTTCAGGGGCCCCCAGGAAGGCGGATCAGGATCTGTCTCTCATGCATAAGTGGGCTTTTGGGCCCAGGGCCTAAGGTGTGACACCTTCTGCAGCCTTGGTGAAAGGGGTAGGGGCTTGGACCTACCTCAACTGAATGTACCATGCTCTGCTGACTCCCTATGGGAGATCTTGACTTGGAGTAGGTGGGAATGGGGGGAGGCTTGGGAGAAAGGCTGGGGGAGGGAAGAGGGAAAACGGGGGGATGTAGACAATTTTCTAAACAGCCTTCTTAAATAAAAGCACAGCAGCCATGACAGGCTTAGGGGCATACACACAGCTTCTGCAATAGGCTTACTGGCAGGCAACACCCAGATCCAGGAAAAGCCTTAAGCTGATACCACCCAGGGATCCACCCAGGGATCTATGCAGGGATGAGGAAGTACATGACATCCCAAACATTCCAACCATTAGATAAGGTGGCCAGATGTCCTTGAGTCTAGCACACACCTATATTTTGTTTTACAGATACCCCTTGACAATTGTCAGCCAATCATGGTCCTGAACTCTGGAAATCCCCTCAGCCAAACCTCAGCTATGATTAAAAACCCCACCCTACCTGAGCACAGGGATCTCTGCTCTCATCACTGTGTTGGACAGACAGAGGGATCAAACTCCAGAGCTTGAAATAAAGGTTCTTTGCTTTTAAATGCAGGATTCAGTCTCTGTGGTGGTCTTGGGGGTTCCCATGATCTGGGTATAACATTAACAACACACATACATCATTAAAAGTAAGCAACATAATTAAGCTGAAGAAATTAATGAAAAAGATTAAATGGTTAAAATATTCAACAGTAAACTAGATTAATGAAATGAGATTCTCCTGATACAAAAGCAATAATATGCCTGTTGCAGCTAGAAGGATGAGAAACTGATGGCACTTGAGGTCTAACCAAATCACTCATTGAACCAGATGAGTCTAGCCAGGGCTCTCAGTGGCAATTATCCAACTTCCCCAGCACCTCCCCCTTACACAGTAGCAGAGTGCTCTTCTCCTCTCCAGTCAAGCAGCACATTGGCAGCTGAGCTGCCTGAAGCAAGGGGTTTTTGTTAAGGTCTGTGTCACTGTGGGAGGAGCATGTGTAGTTTGCATGCAGTAATAAACTCCTACATCCTCAGCCTCCACTCTGCTGATCTTGAGTGTGAAATCTGTCCCTGACCCACTGCCACTGAACCTGTCTGGAACCCCTGTACCCCGGTTGTACACCCAATAGATTAGGCGCTTTGGAGACTGGCCTGGCCTCTGTAGGAACCAATACAAATAGGTGATTCCATCACTATATAAGAGGCTCTGACTTGACCTGCATGAGATGGAGGCTGATTGTCCAATGGTAACCGGCAAAGAGAGTGGAGTCTGGGTCAGCACAACATCATCGCCACTGGTTCCTGAAATTACAATAGAATGGTACAAAGTCATGTTAAAACTTCCCAAACAATCTTAGTGAATTCCTTTGTTACTCATTACAATTAGATCCTGCTATGTTTTATGATTTTAAAAAATATGTCAAATGTTTTTTTTTTTACAAAACAAGTGAGTGGAAGGTCCTCAAGTTCATAATCTGCAGCACCCCTTCCCATCTACATCAAAATCTTCATCCTAGCTCAGCTCCTGTCTCATATAGAATTTCCCATTGTCATGTAACTAAAATTCCCATGTGCATCCTGGAGAATGGGACCTGCCTCATCTCACATGGACATCATACAGAGGCAACTAGTTCCCACCCTTCATCCTCATTCTACTCCTGCTTCTCATTCTCTCTTACCCAGAATCCAGAGCATAAACAGAAACAGGGACTGGACAGGGCACATCATTTTGAAGAATGAACTTAGGAGAGTGAAGGCAAGAGGACAGCTGAGCTTTTATCTCAGGACAGCAAGGCAGGGACCTCCCCAGGGAGCAATATGCAAATACCCTGGTATGTATGGCAATGTACATAGAGCAGAGAGTTGTGTGGGATTCTTGAATTTAAAAAATAACCCAAAAATGTCTTCTTGTACATCAAGAGTGAATGTAATAAAACAAAATGTGATGACTGATGAGAGACTAGTTGGATGCTGAAAGATTAGCAATGTGGTTCAAATTAAATGTAAATATACATTAACAAATAGTCTAATTTTATAATTTGAAATTTACTCAATTTTTTGTAAACATTCATAACTAAGTTGCAGAGAACTAGGGAAATGTAATTAAGACATTAAGCTCAAAATTGTCGTGAATGAAACTTTGTACTCATAGTCAATAATACATTGCAATATTACAAGATGGAAGTAAGTCACTCAATTCTCTCATCAATGTATTGACTGTATCTTACTAAGTATTAGAAAATAGACTTAATTATAATCAGGTTACTGACTTATGTGCTGAATGTTTGACAAAGAAATGCGTACAATAAGCATTGCCATAATAAACACACATAATTTTCATAACATTGTAATGTTCTTTTTATTCAATTTCTCTTAAGCTTACATGTCAGAAAAACTCTGACCTTCTTGCTGTCACTGCAGATTATGTGTTTTTTGAAGTTCTCAAGTCTCATTTGAATGAAATCATATAGCTCCTGTGCCTCAGTGACTTAATTTCATTTTCCAAGTATACCTGTTTCTCTAAAGTTTTTTTATGTTCTGTGAATAAGTAAATAAAAAGTATCTATTTTTGGATCCTTTAGTGATGGCAACATTTATTCTTCCATGTGGACATTGTCATTTATCTACCTCGTGAAGTTATTAATAAAGGTATTATGAATACTTTTGTGCCAGATTATATGTAAATATGTATCTTCATTTATCTTGAGCAGGTACCTATTCGTTGTGTATTTGGCTACCTCCATGTCAGATATGAAAATGAAGCCTATTCGGATTTATTAACTGCAGATTGTTTTGTGCAACAGTGTCAATGTTCTGTAACGCATGTCGTTCTCAGTCATTGTGAACTACATTTCTTTATAGTCACAGGAGATACATGGTCATTGAATTCTTGGGTCTTTTTTGTTGGTTCCTGCTACAAGCGAGCGACTATGCTCTAACGTATTAGTCTAGATGCATTGCTTACACGTTGTTCACAGCTCTCCCTGTAGTTTTCACTGTTCTTAATTTTGTCTCTAGGTCATTGCTTAACATGAACATCATTTTGTTGCTAATGCCTTTTAGATTTGTGACAAGGTGCGGCTGCTGTTATCAAATAAATGACAAGATATGCAATTCAACTGCTTTTTAAAAAAAGTATTGGTTACATAGGGCAACTGACTTGGTTACATTTCCTAGCAATTATTTTCATAATTATTTTCTTTCCAATATGTATGGTTCCAAATGACAGATTAGAAAGCCACAGATACTGCCTCAATTAGCTATACAAAAAGACATGGAGCAAATCACATTAGCTTGAACAAATGGAAGAACAAATATGTATCCATAAAAAACATTAAATATGGGCACAAATAATTCATCCGACATATAAACTAATTACCAGATTTCTGATTGTGAACATGAAACTAGGGCACTCTTATAGTATAATGCAGGCAAATTCTTGTCAGCCTGAGATTTGGGGATGACTTAGTACAGCACCAAAGTGATGAGCCATGGACAAAAGTGTATAAGACAGACTTTAATAACTTGGCAAATGTTGGTCAGTGAAAACACGGTCAAGAGACCACAATGCTTTCAAAATCTCTATCTCTTAAAGGAGTAGTATCTTAAATATGCAAACCTTTCTCCAGCTCTGATGGAATTGCTTTATTTCTGTGATTCATACAAGTAGAAGATGGGGATTTAACAGAAATACGACCTGCCAGAAGAGGCATACTCTGATAAAGGTAAGGATTGGGAAATCACCTATAAAGTGCAACAAACAGCTGAGAGTGTGAGGACACCAAGCCTGTTCTGTTTGGACAGGCTTGAGCACCACAGATTCACTAGCTTACACCTTGGTTCAGATGGTCCCTGGAGAAACACCAAAGACCCCTTATTTGTATTATCAACTTCCTGATATGAGCATAAAGTTGCCTAATGTCTGTTGCTCAGACCATTTATTTAAACCATCCTGTTTGGAATATCTACAGTGCTATGTGTATTATATGTCTTGGGAAATTTTTTTTCTAGCTCTGTCTATTTGATATTTTGTGTGTTTCATTTACCTTAATAGGCACTGTCTTCATTAGCCTGGGGAAATTTTCCCCAATTATTTTATTGAAAATATTTTTCTGTGCCTTTGACCTGGGTTATCTTTCCATTCATTCCTATTATTTTTTTTAAAATTTGGTCATATCATTGTGCCCTAGATTTCCTGGATGTTTGTGTCCTTTTGTATCTTAACAATTTCTTTGGTTAGGGTATTTGCCTGTCTTCAATACTGAAAGTCTTTCTTTCATGTCTTATTGTAATAAGCAAAGAACTGTCTCATTTGTTTTCAAAAGTTGGGGGTATTCTCCCTTCCCACTTGAAGCAAAGCAACTACCCTGCCATTTCTGCTTGTGAGTACACATATCCTTGTATGATGTTCCCTTGATACCTCACCTTACTGGATTCTCTCCACCATTCTGATACCAGACATTTTCTAAAGAATTTTAGGTTGTCTTCCTACCAAGTCATCATCCCCACCTTTGAATACAATATCATCTTTAGCCTACGCTTTCTTTCTATAACTGCTTGGCCTACGGGATTGTGTGGTATAGCTGTAACATGCTTTATATTATAATAAACAGAAACAGGTAACAATGACTCCTAGAAATAGATTGCATAGTGCTTTATTAACCTTGAATTTTCTCAATGCTGATGAGAAAGGAGCAGCAGCTGCAGAAAGACATTGGATGACAGACAAAACTCCTGAACTAAACCAACCAGTTTATTTCAAAGGTGTGCTGACCTCAGAATGGAAACTTGGATGTGTTATACATTGGGAAAGGGATTTTGCCTTTGTTTCTGCATGAGAAGAAAAGCTATGAATACCAACAAAATTAATAAAAATTCAATTCAAACAGGAGAAACACCTTGAGGAAAAGTAAAAGCTCATCCACCAATGTAACATCTCTACAAGTTGTAAGAAAAATTTAACAATCAAAGGTTGGGGTAGGTTTCTGTTTTTGTCTTTCCAGGATAATGGAAATACCCATCTTTCAGAAATCATAAGGCCTTGGATATCTGGATGGTTACAGCAGAAATAAAGAATCCATTGGTACCAATCTACACAGGGTAAAATCTCACTGCCTAACATCTATATCTCTTTCAATCTAGAAAAGTTGTGGTTCAAATTCAATTATAAACCAAGCTGGCTTTAGAGATGGAATTGGCTCAGTCCTTCTCTAAAACCAAGCATATTGCTAAAAGAAAGGGTTGAGAGATTCTTCAATCCCATATCATAAGAGCCCTCTGGTGTGGGACAGAAGGAAACCAATAAAAATGAACCATTGTCTTCAAGATTCTAGTTCTCTTCATGTTTATTCTTGATTTCTCAGAATCCTTTCTTACTTGTTATGTCCTCTTTAAATCCAAACTTTCCATTTTGAAAAAAAAATAAATTTTTACAATAGCAATCTCTGAAGTCTCCAGAAGGAAGATAGGGTCCCAACAACAACACCTCTACCCAATCCAGAATGATGCCATGGTAATCATCATCATACTACACTTCTTGCCAGAATTTCAGACAATCTTACCCATTACTCTAAGACTTGCTGCAGAATCTAAAGTTAGTCTAACTGAGATTTAACTATCTGAGCTTTCTCACAGTACCCAACAGAGATACTATCACCCCCTAAACAGCAGGAAGCAATTCTAAGAAAATGACGCCCTTCTCCCTAAGTTTTCATATTTCTCAGGGTTATGGATGATGGTTATAGGGTTGGGGGTGGAAGAAAACATTAAACTCAGTATTCTCCTTAAGAAAAGAAAAAGTGTCTCAAGAAAAGAGAGAAAAAAAGAAATGGAATGGATAGGTATAAGATATTATGGTAGTATATTTTATATACTAGTAAACAAATTTAGTAAAATAGCAGCCTTAGATAATTTGCACTGTTATGGATTCTTATATCTTGATACAAATGTAAAATATTTTTATATTCCTATTTTAGATAATTTGTATATTGATACAAATACAGAACTATATTTGTTATAATATACATATATTTCTACTCTTATTTGCAATATTTGTATATTGATACAAATGTAAATTTATATCTGTCATACTGTGTGTATGTTCTACCTCTGTTTAGGATATTCTGTATATTGATATATATTTAAGATTATTGTCATATCGCATATCGCACTATACATTGCTACCTCTATTATAAATATCTTGTGTATTGTCACAATTTTGAAGTCATTGTCCTTTACCATACATTTGCTTATAGACTGTTTACCTTGTTTACATGAAGCTTTATTTCTTAGGTTATTTCGGTAGATAAGACTTATAGTTTTATAGTCACCTATGCTTGTCATCTCTGTAGTTAAGTTAGTTAGGTGATCCAGATTTACAAATACATAGGTCAGATAGACCGGTAATCTTCAAATACTTCATAGACCTAGAGGATATGGCATTTAAATAACTTAGAATTCTCTTGACATGAGACACAATTGCTCCTGGCAGCACCAATTTGATGCTAAGAGACCATTGGGCTTCTAAGACATTTCCATTTGGAAGTTTGTCTTCTTGGCACAAAATGGACTATTGGGCAAAGAACTGCCCTTACCTCAACTGCTGACAATATGAGTACTATCTGTCTGGAAAAGCGGGACACAAGGAAAAGTGACTTCTGAACTCTGCCAATACAGGGTAAGATAGTCTTTCAGAATTCCTGCTTCTGAAAATGGCCTGTCAGATAATCTAGACCTGTAGCCAATTTGA